TTTTCTGCAATCTTCTACAACATGACCTTTCCTGCGACAAAATGCACAAAACTTGTTAGTGATTACTTAGGATCACATCCTTTAATCTAACAATTCACGAGTATAAATTGGGAAAACCCAAATTGACTTTCTGAGATGTGTAGATCGCTTTTCTTTTTTACCGAACTTTGTTGACATTGTATGAAGTACAATGGCATATTGAGGTTTGTGAAATGCCGAGTGCNCTGTGTCAAAAGCTTGGCATTGTGAGCCGTTTCAATCTGAGCCCAAGTGTTTTCTGGCAAGTTGAGGAGTGCACAAATACCTCCCAAATTGCGTGGTTCAATCTTGTTAACGATGTTGTTAAAAATCAAACACATTGTATCGAAGGACGAATTCAGGCCACCATGCGAAGATAATAACTTGGCAGCGATTGTTATGGACAAGGTTCCGTATAAGTCCACGATTGCCAAGTATTTGTCCCGACCAAAGGTTAAACCTGCCTCCTTTTTGATTTCTGTGTTGACAGTGGCGTTGACTGCGGCTTGTATGACATTCTCAAATAAACCAAACAACTTCTTCTTTTGACCATCGGTGACAGCAGAAGCAAATTCAAAACCGTCACGACCGTTAGCAATAAAATGGTCCAAGTTGTGTATCTGAAATAGGAACAGAATTTGCTGGTTCCAAGTATTGAATGTGAGATGGTCTTCTAATAGAGTGACATCGCCGAACACGGTATTCTGTTTGCTCATAACCTGTTGAAGAGTAACTGTGAGTTGATCGATATCATCCTTGTTATACGTAATAGTAGCTGCCATGGTTTAATTGATGTCTTGCGCTTTGAGTATATGTTGTAGAAAACTAGNTCGATGTCTGCGCTTTGAGTATATGTTGTAGAAAACTAGCTTAATCTGCTTGATTAAGTATGCCTAAACTATACCAAGTGATGTCGAACTTCACTTCTATCTATAATCTTCAACTTTCTCAATCTCATCTCATTCTTCTCAATCCGCTTCACTCTGTACTTCCGTATTTGGCATTTCACAAACCTCAAAATGCAACTATACTTCATGCAATGTCTCCACCTTTATTCGGTGGATGCATGAGGGTTCCAACTTTTCACTTCACTTATCTGTCACATCACTTCCACTTGAAGTCACCCTTTGATTCTCCTTTGCTGTGGATAGGGTGTAGTGAGCACGCTCAGACATTGTACGTCATGCAATCTCAACAGGTTGGAACTTCGATGCTCGGATGTGGCCC